TGTGTGTGTGTGTGTGTGTGTGTGTGTGTGTGTGTGTGTGTGTGTGTATGTATGTATATATTGGGTGGGCCAAAAGGTTTCTTCAGTTTCTTCCGTACGGTGGCGGTAGTGGCACGCAGTTGTCTTTAACTTCATTCAAAACAATTTTGTTAAATTGTAGGTGACAGCTGTCATATCAGCATGCATTTAAAAAAAGTCTTATCAAAATTGGTGAATTTTTGTGTTTTATTATCGAAGATGGAAGAAAAAAAGCAACATTTTTGGCATATTATGCTTTATTCTTTCCAGAAAGGTAAAAACGCAACCAAAACGCAAAAGAAGATTTTGTGCAGTGTATGGAGAAGGTGCTTTGACTGATCAAATGTGTCAGAAGTGGTTTACGAAGTTTCATGCTGGAGATTTCTCGCTGGACGATGCTCCACAGTCGGGTAAACCAGTTGAAGTTGATAGCGATCAAATCGAGACATTAATCGAGAGCAGTGAACGTTATACCACGCGGGAGATAGCCGACGTACTCAGAATATCCAAGTCAAGCAATGAAAATCACTTGCACCAGCTTGGTTATGTTAATTGCTTTGATGTTTGGGTTCCACATAAGTTTAAGTGGGGGAAAAAACCTTCTTGACCATATTTCCTCATCCAATTCTCTACTTAAACATAATGAAAATGTTTCAGGTTTTTTGGCCACATTGTGTGGCATGCAGAACTTTCCCAACCAGAGATCGAACCTGTGTCATCTGCATTGGAAGCGTGGAGTCTTAACCACTGGACCACCAGGGATGTTCAAACGTTCCATTTTTAAAACAAATTGTGATGGGCGATGAAAAGTGGATACTGTACAATAATGTGGAACGGAAGAGATCGTGGGGCAAGCGAAATGAACCACCACCAACCACACCAAAGGCTGCTCTTCATCCAAAGAAGGTGATGTGTATATGGTGGCATCGGAAGGGAGTCCTCTATTATAAGCTCCTTGTGGAAAACCAAATGATTAATTCCAACAAGTACTGCTCCCAATTAGACCAACTGAAAGCAGCACTCAACAAAAAGTATCTGGAATTAGTCAACAGAAAATGCATAATCTTCCATCAGGTTAATGCAAGACCGCACATTTCTTTGATGATCAGGAAAAACTGTTACAGCTTGGCTGGGAAGTTCTGATTCATCTGCCGTGTTCACCAGACATTGCACCTTCAGATTTCCACTTATTTAGGTCTTTACAAACTTCTCTTAATGGAAAAAATTTCAATTCCCTGGAAGACTGTAAAAGGCACCTGGAACAGTTCTTTGCTCAAAAAACTAAAGTTTTGGGAAGATGGAATTATGAAGTTGCCTGAAAAATGGCAGAAGGTAGTGGAACAAAAGGGTGAATATGTTCAATAAAATTCTTGGTGAAAATGAAACATGTGTCTTTTATATTTACCTAAAAACCGAAGGCACTTTTTGGCCCACCCAGTACACACACACACACACACACACATATATATATTCCGTGGAGATTTGGACAAATGCACAAGGACATGTGTCCATCACTGTAAAATCATACAGAGAAGTTTCACTGCCCTAAAAATGCTCTGTGCTCCACCTGTTCACACCGCCTCCTGTGCCCCAGCCCCTGGCAGCCACCAATCTTTTTACTGCCTCCATAGTTTTGCCTTTTCCAGAATGTCATAGAGTTGGAGTCATACAGTTTGTAGCCTTTTCAGATTGGCTTTTCATTTGGTAATACGCATTTAATGTTCCTTTTCATGGCTTGATGACTCATTTCTTTTTAGTGCTGAGTAATATTCCACTGTCTGGACGGACCACAGTTTATCCATCTAATGAAGGACATCTTGGTTGCTTCCAAGTTTTGGCAGTTATGAATAAAGCTGCTATAAACATTCATGTGCAGGGTTTTGTGTGGGCATAAGTTTTCAGTTACTTTGGATAAATACCAAGGAGTGTGATTGTTGGATTGTATGCTAAGAGTATGTTTAGTTTTGTAAGAACCACCAAACCGTCTCCCAAAGTGGCTGCACCATTCTGCGTTCCCACCTGCAATGGATGAGAGTTCCTGTTGCTCTGCATCCTCACCTGCATTTGTTGTCAGCATTCTGGATTTTGTCCAGTATTCTGCGGTTTTATTTGGTGAAATAGTCTAAATGTGTCCACTAGGTTGTTATTAAATCTTATTTAAATCTTCTAAATATGCTGATTGTTTTGTCTGCTTATTTTATAATTTACTGGAAAGGTATATTATTATTGCCGAATTTAACTGTGGGTTTTTCTCTTCCCTCTATACTTTTGTCAGTTTTTCTTTAATATATATTTGAGACCATGTTATTAGGTGATTCCAATTTAAAATTATACCTTTCTGTGAATTAAGTAATTCTGAAATGACTTTAAAAAAATTTCCAATAATAACTTTTTGCCTTAAAGTTTATTATGTCTGGTTTTAAGTGGTTGTATGACTCCCTTTGTAGGCTGGTATTTGCCTCGTATATCTTTTCACCATTCTTTAACTTTCAATGCTTCGATAGCCTTATATTTTACATGTCTTGTTTTAAATTGTCTGTTGTTAGATTTTAAAAGATCCAGTCTAAGAGCAACTGTCTTTCAATTGGAACACATATTCCAATGATATTTAATGTGATTACAGGTATATTTGTGTCTACAGTTACAATGTTTTAAAGAAGTTAATTAATTTTGTATAAGTACATTGTTTTGGTAAGGCATTTTAATATTAACGTCATACCCAAAGTTTCATTGTGGTGAGAGACTTTTATAGTTAAAAGAAGCAAACAAACTTCCTGTTTAATAACGTGGAGTATTTCTAACTAAGATGTATTTATTTGGTGTTTTGAAAAATTCTTTTAATCATGTATCTTTTTTGCCTTTATAAATCCTCAGCTTTTCGCTGTGGTCTGCAGTTTTTAGGCAATATTGCCTCACGGAATGAAGATTCCCAGTCTATTGTTTGGATGCATGCTTTCCCAGAACTCTTTTTGTGAGTATATTGATAGAGTTTTTCTGACTTCTGAAAAGATTGTGGTTCTATCAATTCCCGAACAGGAGAAACTAACCTTTGGTAACAGAACTCAGGACAGCAGGTGCTCTTGGTGGGTAGTGGCGGGTTTAGTACTGGCTGGGGGAGGGCACGAGGTAGGCTTCTGTATCTTGATCTGCGTGGTGGTCACGTAGGTATATACACATCTCACTGGGCTGTACACATAACGTTTATGCCCTTCATTGTATGTCAGTTTTTACTTTAAGTAAATAAAAGTTTTGGTTAAAGTAAGGAATGCTGTTAAGGACACATCTTTTATAAGAAAAAAGCCATAAAATATTGAAGTATGGGCAATGAATTAATCATGTGTTTATTAATTGAGCATTTCTTATATGCTCGGCACAATGCTCTATGTTTTGGTAGGTATGGAGAAGTATAAGATGTGGATAACCAATCTGTTTATGTAGATTGATTTATGGTGTACTTTCCCTGGTGATTTGCTACTGTGTTTTGACCAGCTGTGTTCATAAGAAATGGAGCATGGAGATGAAAGGTGAGCAGGTGATGGAGGAAGGATAGGTAATAGGAAAGGCCCCATCCTGGGGCAGGAGGCCTGGCTTCTAATCCAGGTTCTGTTGCCAACCAATGGGGTAACTTTGGTGGTGGCAACAATATAAGCAGCAGAGCAGCTGTCGTTTGAATGTCCAGAGCTGGGTCTTTTCTGTATATTTCCCGTCCTTTACCCTTTGCCCTGTGGGGCAAGTGGTACTGTCCCCATTTGGACAAATGAGGGAACTGACACTTATCACTGGTAAATGGCGTAGCTGGAACCGGAACCCCATGCTGCCCTCTGGATCCGAAGCCTACGCTCTTTAAATACCAGCTGCCTAAGTTCTGTGCTGCCTTCCCTGGTTGTATAGGTTTTCTGGGCTCATCTGTATGGTGTAAGGATCAGATAAACGCTAATGTTATCCCTAGCTCACTGAGCCTGTAACCGGTTCTCAAATTCCTGCAGATAATTAGAGTTGAAGGCATAAAATCTTTACGGTTAATAATAGTTGAGCTTAGGTTGGAAGGAAAGAATTGTGGAATTCAAGCTGTAGGAATAAAAATTACTTATTTTTGAGAATTCATTCCTTTCAAACATTTTGAATACCTCATCTCTGCCAGGTTCTGAGCTAGAGGAGTAGAATAAGGGTAACTTAGATATATCCACCACTCCCCCAAAGCCCGTGCTATAAGCATGTTGTAGTGTAAGAACTGATGTATTAATAACACAGGTGAATCCAGGTGTCATAGGGACACAGAGGAGAGGCCCCAAAGAAGGCCGTCAGAGGCGTTTACTTGGCAGTTACGTGATGGTTTTACATTCGTTATCAAATCTGATCCTCACGGAAGCCCCCTGAGACAGGCCAGGGAGGTCTCGTTATTATATTCCACTTTTATGTCAGGAAACACACCGAAAGAGGTTATGTGACTTCACTCTATATGTGTTTGTGAGACAGATACAACCAAATTTGAATTCAGCTTTGGCAGGTACTGGCTTTGTGCCTTTGGGCAAGTAAAGTCAACACATTCTTCATCTGTAATAAAGGATAAAACCTCCTCCAGAAGAGTATTATGAAGTTTAAATGAAAGAAAAAAAATCCTGCCATAGTGCATAACCCATAATATAATTGAAAATTGATAAATTAGTGACCTTTCTAAGATCACATAGCTGATAGGTGGGTGAACCGGGAGTTATACGGAGGCTTTTGACTCCAAATTTTATTTCTTGCCAATATATCATCTTTCCCTTAAACATTCTGTCCCTCAGACTGTTAAAGAAATGTCTGTAGTCATTGAAGTATCATCTTATGCCTTTTGATTTTTTTCTAACAAGAATGAACATTTTAATGCTTTATAAATGTAATCATTTTACCTTTTTCTTTAATCAGATGCTATTTGCTTTCTGCCTCTGACTCATAAGTGAACTGCCGCTTTTGTATTGGGTTCTCTGTGTCGTGACTAATTTTCAATTTGCTGTTTTTGCCATAAATTATGTACTTGTTTAAAAGTGTTGTAATTCTTCATTAAATCCTTAAAAATATCGTATATACTGAACTTGTTAATGGGATTATTACTATTTATGAGTTATAATCATGTTTTATCATGCTGCTAAGTTGGGCTAACACCCTGATTTCTTTTTGGAAGGTCTTGCTTAAATCATCCAGACAAAAAAATTGTTGCCTACTCATCAATGATTTTGTTCACATCCCTTAATTCTGAAAGAATGAAGGAGCTGGAAGAAAACCTCAATATTGCGATTGATGTCATAGAAGCTCACCAGAAGCAGCCTGAATCAGAATGGCCGTGAGTATCTTGTTAGAAATGTGGCTGCTTAAACATCCTGACATCACTTTCCTGGTAGAGGTTTTAAGTAAAAGTTTGAATTATAACAATTGAACAGTAAGTTTAAGCTTAACATATGTTGAAAATCTAGGAAAAGATCCCGTTTCTAGCCTTTCTTGTTTGTAAATAAATGTGCTTCTCTGATGTCCTTTCTATTCTGACTTCTGCTTTGGATGGAGTATATTTTTGATCCTCTCCCAAGATAATTTGTTCTATTTTCCATAAAGCTGGAGTATTACTTACAGGCCCTAAATGTCTTTGTGGCATTTTATGTTTCTGATTAGTGGGACCCCACCTCCTTCATAAAATATTACCACAAAATTTCTGCATTTACAGAAATAGTAATTCTGCAAAAGAATTTAATTACAAATTTAAAGTTTATAGCTTAGAAAATATTAAACGTGATTGAGACTCTTCTTGTTATAAAGGTCTTTATCTTTGGTTCTTCCCTTGAGCAGATATAGGGTGAGAAAGTCAACACAATGAATTCTGAGTGAAAGTTGAGAATTTGCTTGTAACTTCGTGCAGCCCCTGGAATGGAAAGTATATTATATTTAGAAAAACAGTGCCAGCAACTAACATATAAAAACTCATGCATAATTGACAGCCATTTAAATGACCATTTTTGAGTTGCAAGAAAAAAATCTCCCTTGTCACTGGCATTCCATCATCATTGCCTTGTATATCTAATATTATTTGCCACCAGGATTATACACTCAGTGTTATGCCATAAGGTGGTGTAGCAAAGAATTCCAGTTGTCTGTATGGATGTCCAGTCAGAACGCTTTTTTTCTGCCTGTATTGTAAACTGTGAGAGACAGTTCTTATCCTTTAAACAGTGCCAAAGTAAAAATGCTGCTATCTTTACTCACTAGTAGATGTTTACTATTTGTTGAATGAAAGAAAGAATAAATGGGTTTTACTCCTCATTGGTTTGACCTGAAAGCAGCATGAAGAACCAGACCCTAGCTCAAGGTTTAAGTTCACCCGAACTTCTTTCCAGAGAGGCTGCCGGAGCAGAAGTACCTGGGGAGCATCCCAAGAGGCACCACAGAAGTCAGGAAACTGAGCATTTGTTTTGATTTTTAGGTGAATGAGGAACCTTAACTAAGGCACTGAACTTCTGTGGGCCTCTTCTTCCTTATTTCTAAAATGAAAGAATTGATTTAGGTTAGAAGTTTCCAGACTTCTGAATTTCGTGTCCCATATGTTATTTTAAAGGCATGTGGACATGGTTACAAACTCACTGGAATGGTTGGTTTGGCACAAGGACTGTTGGGTAGCGACACTGCCTGTCTTGCTGTCTACCTGTCTGAGCTTGAATGGCAGTACCTTAAGATGTCATTCTTGCCCTTTGCTCTGATGACTTTACCTTTTTAATTATATTTGGTTAAAGCAAACGAGCCAGTATTCAGTTCTGGTGACTTTTAAAGCATATGGTTTTGCATTTGACTGGTTACCTGGTGAGCACAAGCTTGACGTCATTGCCAGTCAGTACTCATTTGACTGGTTACCTGGTGAGCACAAGCTTGACGTCATTGCCAATCAGTACTTACCTGAATAACTCAAAAGTGCAAAGGAATGCTTAGGAGATTTACCTGGAAAATGAATAGTCCATCTGCACCTCTGTGGGTACCCAGAGTTTTTCCTGGGTTGATCCTGCACATCCGGTAGCTGCCTGTCTGTACTTCCCTGGTTTGGGGCCTGGCTTACACTGAGGAGTAGTGCCCAAGTGGCTTTGCTCTATCTTATTGAGGGCCCACCGTGAGACATTGCTGAGAGCACTGCCCGCTGTGTCACAAGACAAGGGGCTCTGGTTTCTCTGCAAAGACTAATTGCCCTTTTCATGAGGGATCTGATTTGCTTTTATCTTGGAAAACCCGTGGATTAGAAACTATTCCTGCTTTGTGCAGGCTTCTAGGAAATTCAGAAAACATGCAGATGCTTGCTCCAAACATTAATTAATTAATTCAGTAATTATTGATGGAGTTCTTGAAGTGTACCAGGTACTGTTCACGGCACTGGAGATTCAGAATTAATAAGACGTTACGTTTTAGTGAGAGACAGATAATGAACCTAAAACCCCAAATAAATGTATAACAAATATCAGATAAATTGGAAGAAAAATACACAGAATGTGTACTGAGCTGTCCCTTAGAATGGTACTTGACTTATAGTAAACGCTGTATAGTATTAGCTAGTATTTTATTAGTAGTAATACAAACATGATTGGTACAGAAGACAGACAGTGGAAAAAACAAGAATCAATGTTGGATCTTTTTTTTTTTTTTTGGGGGGGGCCATGGCATGCGGGACCCCTGCAGTGGAAGCACGGGGTCCTAACCACTGGACCGCCAGGGAATTCCCATGTTGAATCTTTTTTTTTTTTTCTTTTTTTGCCATAAGCGGGCCTCTCACTGTTGTGGCCTCTCCTGTTGCGGAGCACAGGCTCTGGACGCGCAGGCTCAGGGGCCATGGCTTATGGGCCTAGCCGCTCCGGGGCACGTGGGATCTTCCCGGACTGGGGCACGAACCCGTGTCCCCTGCATCGGCAGGCGGACTCTCAACCACTGCGCCACCAGGGAAGCCCCTGAATCTTGATTAAGTACTCTGGTGAGGTGAGGTGACGCAGAGTAACTTTGTGCTACTTTAAAATTTGGAGGTCAAGGAAACCTTTCCCGAGTTGGTGACATTTGAACCGAGAACTGGGTAGCCAGTCATTGGAAGATCTGTGGGTAAAGGTGGAGACAGATTGGGAAGAACAGTCCCAGCAGTGAATACACAGGATGCAAAGACCCCAAGGCAGAGGCCTCTGTCGCAGGACTAGGGAGACCAGGGTTTGGACAGTGTAGTGGGTGAAGGGGTACCTGGAGGCCAGTGATGTGGGGCTTTGTGAACCAGAAAAAGGCGATCGTTTTACTCTTTGCCATGAGAGGCGATTGGGGAGTTTTAAGCAGTGTATGGAACGACCTGGTCTGTGTTAGTTAGTTAGTTAGTTAGTTAGTTATACATACTTATTTATTTTTGGCTGCGTTGGGTCTTTGTTGCGGTGTGCAGGTGTCTCATTGCGGTGGCTTCTCTTGCTACGGAGCACGGGCTGTAGGCGCGTGGGCTTCAGTAGTTGTGGCGCACGGGCTCAGTAGTTGTGGCTCGCGGGCTCTAGAGCTCAGGCTCGGTAGTTGTGGCGCACGGGCTTAGTTGCTCTGCGGTATGTGGGATCTTCCCTGACCAGGGCTTGAATCCATGTGCCCTGCGCTGGCAGACGGATTCTTAACCACTGAGCCACCAGGGAAGTCCCTGATCTGTGTTTCAAAGGCTCCCTCTGATTGCTGGACTGAGGTTGAGCTGTGGGGAGGGGAGAGGGAGGAATGGAGGCTGGGCTGCCTGTTAGGAGGCAGTTGTAGTTGTCAGGAGGCCAGGGTGGCTTAGATGAGGGTCGTCGCAGTGGGATGAAGAGAGATGAATAGATTGCGTGTGCTCTGCAGGCGGAGCTGGTGAGGCTTAATATGGATTTGATTTTGGGGGTGAGGTGGGATAGAGGAAGGCAAGGGTGGGAGCTGGGTTTTTGGCTTGTTTGAGTGAGGTGGGTGGAACAGTTTGGGGTGGGGCTAGGGGACATCAGGAGTGCGTTTTGACTGCGTTAAGTTTGAGGTGCCTTCTCTACATCTGAGTGGAGCTGTCCTGCGGCCTTGTTGACACGTATGTCATCCTGCATATGGGCAAGTATGATTGTAGGATAAATTCACGATTCGCAGTTACTCGCAGAGAATGTCTTTTATAATTTTGACAGACACTTCCAAGTTGTCCTTCATAGATGTTATACTAGTATATACTTCCCTTGGCAAATTTTGAGAGTAGTACCTGGTTTCCTTTATCATTGCTAACAGAGTGTGCTATCAAAATTTTGGATTTGCCAATTCTGCCAAGGTTTAAAATAGTATCATTGTATAGTTTTATTTTGTATTTTTCTTGTTATGAGGTTGAGCATCATTTTATATATTGAGGAGTCTAATTTTCTTTTATGTACATTCTCATTTTCTTCACCCATTTTTCTATTAGGATGGCAGTCTTTTCTATATATGTAGGAATATTTTTTAAATTAAGGATATTAGTCCTTTGTATGAAATAAAATCCAAATTTTTTTCTCCCTTTTTTGTCTTTGGCTTTGCTTCTGGCACTTTTCTTCATGTAAAGTTTTTGATATTTTAGTAGATGAAATTGCCAGTCTTTTTTAATGTCTTAAGATTTTTGATAATAGCTATAAAGGCCTTTTCTCCACTTAGGTTTTCTTCCAGTACTGTATCATTTCAGTTTTGATGTTTAACTGTTTGATCTGCTTGGAATTTATCTTGGTATAAAGGTCCCAGTATATGGACCTACTTTCATTTAGCTCCAGGTAATGCTGGTGGTCACAGCGACAGCACCGTAGTGGATCTTTCCTTTGTCTTTGCCCCATTCCCTGCACCCTTGACCACCCCTGTGTGTGGAAAACGTTTTCAATTCAAGTTCCACTTCTTCACCACATATTCCAGCATGTAGAATAACTCTGTCCTTCACTGAGTATGTCTCAGTCTGCTAATTAGGCCATAAGGATTTTATAAAAATATTGATCAGAATACAGTTACCATGCATTTTTTTGGGTATTTTGTTTGTTTAGGAGGAAATTCTCCAAAGTGCCTTTTATTTGCACAACCTGATTGAGTTGGGTTTGTTGTTTCTTGTCTGAAAAGTGTTTCATATGTTTTGTCTGCTTTTGTAGTTGTTTAAGGTAGGAGGTCAATTGTTCATCTGTTATGCCTGGAATTGGAAGTGATAGTTGGAGATTTTAACACTCACTTTTTAGCCACTGATAGAAGTAGACGAGCATCAGTATAGATGTAGATGATCTCAGTAGTACTGAGATAGGTAGCCACCTTCACGTGAGTCTGGTTTATAGAACATTTTCTCAACACTTGGAAAATTTACTTTCTTTTCAACTGTCTGCATTATATTCACTAAGATAGACCATAGTCTGGGCTATAAAAAGTCTCAATGAATGTATGAAAAGGATTGGAAACATACGGAATATGTTCCCTGACCACAATTAGCCTAGAAAACCATAGCAAGATGATCTAGAAAAATTCTAAAGTTTTGGAAATTAGCACATCTAAATAATTGATTTGTTACAAAGGAAATCACAAGGCAAATTAGAAAATCTTTTGAACTGAAGGATAATGAAAGCATAAAATGTGTGGGATAAAGCTAAAGCAGGGTTGGGAGGGTAATTTATAGCTTTAAGTGTTTATGTCAGAAAAGTAGGTCTGAAATCAGGGACTTAAGGTTCTACTTTATGAAGATAGAAAGAGGAAGAGTACAGTAAATCCTCAGTAGAAAGAAGAAAATAAAAGGACACAAGTCAATAACATGGAAAACAGAAAAAAAATAGAAAGGATTAACAAAGGCAAAGTTGACTCTTTAAAAAAATCAACAAAATTGATTAAGAAAAAAGAAAGAGAGCACTAATGACCAGTATCGCGAAAGAAGGCGTGATTGTCACCTCAGTCTTAATAAACTCAAAGCTTGGTGAAGCTCCCTTCAACTGACAGTTCTGTAGGCTGAGGGCTGTTTACAATAACATTCAAGGACATAAGTGTTAGGTCCCAAGTCCCTCTTTAAACCCTGGTAGTATTTTATTGTTTATAATTCCCTTAGTACACTGCTCCTCTTTCCTTCAAGCAGTCTTTTCAAGTCCTTTTGTGTCACCTCTAATTTAAATGCTCTCCCTTCCCTCTGCAACTAGGGATTCACCGAACTCCTGATTCTCCTGTCCCATCCATCGCCCCTCTTCCCTGCAGCCCTCTAGTTAGATAAACTTTGTTGTTTCTGTAATCCGTGACGTGTGCCTGTGTGCTGCACCTAAGACATTTTTCTCTAATTATCTCTCTATGCGTGTGTCTTTCTCCACCCTTAGAGTTTGGAGTTATGGCTTGGGACCTAGCCCCTCGCACACAGTATTTGGCACATTGTGTTTTTGAATGAATGTTCTTGTGGGAAAATGTTTTGGGCTCCAAATAGGTGAATTATGGATGAGCTTTAGGGTCACAGTTTTGTATACCTGGCGTGATGTGCATGAATTTCTGTTGTCGCTGTTTGATGACCTACCTAAATTGACGTGAAAATTGAGAATTTTGAATATTACCCATTGTTGGAAATATTTACATCAGTGCTGGTCACTTATTTGAAAGGTTGTGGAAGAAACAGAACATGTGTTTAGGTTTTGTGTTTGTGTGAAGTGACGCTGTGTCGTGGTAGTTAACATGCCTCATTTGGCTACCGTACTTAAAGGCATACTTTTGTTCTGTTATTTATTAAGAAGTGATTAAATAAACCGTGTTTGTCAATATAAACGCTTTACTGTCATGCTTATTCATAACCTTGGTTATGAATAGTATATTCTTTAGCTCTTAAGTCTTCAGATGCCCTCTGGTAAATATGATTCAGAATTAATTAATAGTACTGTTCAATCTTTTTAGGTGTCACAGTGGTACTTTGAAGAAATATGCTTGTAATCTTTGCCTCAAGGGTTTCCCCAAGTTGATCTCTAAGTTTCGATGAGTGCATTGCTTGACAGTGAGGATGTTTTCTTGGTAACTTGAGGGCTCTTAAGGAGTAGATAATCAAGCCAGTATTCATTACTGTGTTGTTGGCGTATGTTTAAATAAAAAGTATGACATGTCTATTTCCCTGGTTAATTTTAGCACTAAGTTTCTGACTAAAACAATTTAATATGTTTTATTATACCTGAACTTGTAGCTAAATTTCATATTACTGTTTGAACTATAGTGAAGTATTTTTCTTTCTCAACTTAGATAAAAACTATAGTAGGCCCTTTCCTCCAGTTGAATAAATTTGAATCATTTCAATACATTTTTCAGAAGTAAAATCGGAGAAAAATATTTTGAGGGTTTTCATTCTCTTTTAGCTGCTAATAGAAAAATAGTATGTGAACCTCTAAAACATTTGAAGATTACAGCTAATCAAAAATTCAATAAACAGGAGTACTTTTATGTGCAAGATATGCCTATAAAGTAGATAAGGCCGTGTCTATTTTACTATGTTTGTAGTAACCAAACCTTTCCCTCCTTTTTTCTTAGGTTCTTGATTATTACAGACCATTTTCTGAAAAGCCCGGAATTGGTTAAAGTCATGTTTGCCAAAATGAGCAATCAAGAAAGGTAACCCCAACCCAGTGTGGCTTCGAGCATTTAGCATTGCATGTCGAGGACCCTGTACACGTGACTGAAGAGCTGTGTGGTTTCGTAGTTGGCACAGAATCTCTAAATACATGTTTCTGTGTCAGTAATGGTTTTAAATTGGTTGGTTAACATTACAGCGCAGCCACAACAGGCAGTGATTTACGTAGGGTTGCAGAATCCAGGTTGGCGCCATTATTCAGTAAAACCATATTAAAAAATGTTAAGAACAAAATGTTATGCTTGTCCCTCGATTTTATAAAAGTAAATCATGCAGCTGTGTATTACAGCTGTATAGGTGAAATGTGCTCATTTGTTCACATCCCTGCTGTCATGATTTGGGATACATTCTGCTAGGTTTATAGTTTTCCAGTAGATATTTTAGACTGAAAGAAAATCAGTACCTCTCTGTGACCTTCACTGGCCGAGTAGGGGAAGAGCAGTGCCCTCTGAGCCCAGAGACCTTAGTACCTTGGCTCTGTGCTTTGTTGTCATAGTAACTCTTTATGTGACCTTAGCCAGGTCTTTCACCTTGTTTGGATTCAGTTTCTTGACATGTAGAATTAGAGGATTGAATAAAATGATTCCTAGTACTTGGTCCATTCCAAGAGTGTATGTTTTTCCTAACCTGATTGGAAATGTTGCCTTAGGAAAATAAAACTTACTCAGAAGGCACAGATCTAATGATCAAAAACCGTAAAAAATGTTAATCTTTTGATTGTAGTCACAATTTTGATAATTGCTGTGGTTTTGAAATTCTTTCTGTACATTTGGGTTCCAACAGTTAATCTTTATGCACTCCTTTGTAGTCTTGTTAAGTAGTGTTTTTTCCTTCTTTAATATCTTTAACAAAAAGGAAAAGTTTGTGCTTTTAAAGTCAGTTTAAATGCCATATTTATAAATCCAGTACCCCCGCCACCACTGTCATATGCCTACTTCTCTTGCAGAAAAAGAATTAAAATAAGTAATATGAAGAATAGTGCTATAAATTAGTAAATTGCTTTGCAGTAAGGAATGTCTGAATGCAAGAGAATACACAGTTTAATAGTCAAGTCTATATTTTCCATATTCCTGTCAAATGATCTGTTGTTAACCGATCTGTTTCCTAACAAAATGAGGATGACAAACTAAACATTGTCCATTTTGATTTATACAGAACTTGTAGCCACGGCTTTCCTACTTCATACAAATTCCTTACTCAGCTGCCACCTCTTCCCCGTCCTCTATTTTTCTTCCACAGGAGAAGTGCTTTTGTTTCATCACGTCGTCTGTTACACATTGTATCACGTCACATACCTGCTTGCCATTGTATGACACCAGTGTTAGATTGTTAGCTCTGTGAGGGCCAGGATTTGGTCTTTTTTATTCTGTGGTGTCCACATTTCCTAGCCACTGTGTGGCACGTAACAAGCGCTAAAAAAAGTTTTTGGATGAAAGCTTGTGTAGACGAATGAATTTTTCTTACTCATGAAAAGTTTTATCTAGTATATTCATTAATGTAACATCACCTACTGGATTGGAAACCTCAGAGTTATCCCCACCTCCTCCTCCACTTGCCGCTTTACACTGGTCAGTAAGCCTTACCGAGTATATCACCTTAGTATGTTGTGAATTCACTCGCTTGTCACAGCTCTGGTTTACATGTCACCTTTGACTGGACTTTGGCTACAGCCTGTTTAAAAACTGTGATAAAATACACATAATATAGAATTTACCATCGTACCCTTTTTAAAACGTACAGTTCAGTAGTTTAAGTGTATTCACATTGTTGTGCAACCAATCTCCAGAAGTTTTCATCTTGTAAAATGGAAACTATACCCATTAAACAACTACCCCCATTTCCCCCTCCCCCAGCCCCTGGCAGCCACCATTCTTCTTTCTGTCTCTGTGAACTTGACTCCCCTAAGTACAGTTGATGCTTGAACAATGCAGGGCTCAGAGGCACTGAACACCAGCGTCGGAAACCCGAGTGTAACTTACAGTCGACCTCCTCATCCGAGGGTCCTCTGTGCCCTCGGATTCAGCCAACGGCAGATCAGGTAGTACTGTAGTGCCTGTTTATTGAAAACATTCCACGTACACATGGACCCACACAGTTCAAATCCATGTTGTTCAAGGGTCAGCTGTACCTCACGTAAGTGGAGTCACACAGTATTTGTCCTTTCATGACTGGCGTATTTCACTTAGCACAGTGTCCTTAAGGTTAGTCCATGTTATAGCACGTGTCAGCATTTCCTTCCTTCCTGAGGCTGAATAATATTCCACCGTATGTATTGACATATGTCACATTTTGCTTGTCTAGTCGTCCATCGATGGACAACGGGGTTGCTCCACCTTTCAGCTACTGTGAATGATACTGCTGTGAACAATACTGATTGTTCTAATTTTTGTTTTTCCCTTCTCCTCTGTCATCTACTGAACTGCCTGCATGGGTCTTGCCCTGCCATTTCGTGGCGTATGTAGCTCGTTACAGGATGCAGTTAGACTCCATGGTGTGGTGTTCAAGGCCCTTTTTAAACGTAGCTTCATTTCCAGCTCCTTCTCATTCTCCCCCAGTCACCACACTGTAGCCGCACAGAACTCCTGTCAGTTTTCCAGGCTTCCCCTTTGGCTTCATGCTTTTGTGTGTGTCCTTTTCTCTGCCCGAAATGTCCTGACTACCCCCTCTCCTTCTGGTGAGTACACACTTGTGCTCTGTTGGCCCTTTTCAGATACTGCCTGCTTTCTGTTGGCTCTCCTGACTTTCCCAGGCAAAGTTCTTTGCATCCTCATCTGCACGTTTATCATGATAATTTGCTTTTCTGCTAGAATATGTATTCTTCAAGGACAAAAACTGAATCTTGTGAGTTCTCTATTCTTAACACCCACCAGAATCAGTACTGGAACAGTGTTGGAATGGAAAACTCTACTAATATCAAACACTTACTGAAGCCTGTCTGTAAGACGCCGTCTCTGTTGATACTGTAGACAGCAGATGGCCCCGTCAGCCAAGAGGAGGTGGTGTGCTGCCGTGGACCTCGTGGGTTGGCCGGTTCCGGTGGAGCTCACTGTGGGAACTGCTGAGTCTGCTTACTTGTCTTTGCTCAGGGGTGGGAGGAGGGGATGGGGTCTTGGCAGGAGCGCTCAGAGTTCTGCGGCTGAGCAGAGGCTGCTGGGTTCCCTGTTGACTCGTTTGGGGCAATGACAGATAATTCTTTGTTCAGAGTGGAACGTTGACAGAATAATAGGATTGAAAAGATACGCTTTTCTCAACAGGGATGTATAACGAATTAACTTCTCCCCTTGCACCTGGAATGGTGCTACACACCATCCTGTGAGTACCGAGAAGACAGTCAGGACATTTTCTGTGTTCTGTGGTTCAGATGAGGGACTGCACTGGAGATTCCTGGGGGGCCTTTGTGGTGTCTCAGCTGGGAACACACACCAGAGGCCCCTGAGGCGAGCCCAGGCTGTGGCCCCGACCTGCTGAATTAGAGTATACGGTCTCGTTGGGGCTGTTAGATTTAAAACGCTTGAGGCTCAGTCAGCAAAACAAGCACTGTATTCATTAAGCACCTGCTGGTGGTCCCTGGGTCCCCAGGGTGCACAGTCCCCACCCGCCCTTAGTGTGGGCGCGTAGGGAGGGGAAGCGCCGTGTGAGCTCGGAAGCTCTTTTCGTGTGCTGGTTCTTTTAGTTGTCACAGTTAGTTGACGGCTTCACCCTGGTGGTTTATTTGGACAGATTACTTGGTGAAGATACTTTGGATACAGGGTCAAAATCAATTCACATGGTGTGATTCAGCAGAAATGAGAGCCTGTGTTTATACAATTTTCTTGTCCCCCTTCCCAGCAAATCGGAGTAATATTGAATTAAACTAGCTGCTCTTGGAAACCAACTTTTGTAGTTTTCAGGTTTATAATTTGTATAGCATAGTAGTTAGGAGCAGAGGCTAGCTGTGCCACTCACTACTTTGGGCAAGTTACTTTTTGGAACTCTGTTTCATCTGTAAAATGAGGATCATAATGGTAGGCACCCCCTGAAATTGTCGTGGTTACTAACTGAAATGTATATAAAGCTCTCAGTGCTGGCATGTAATCGTCACTCAGTAACTGTGAGTGGCCATTTCTGCTTCCATATTTCTGCTGTTATTACTACTTCTCCTCTGATGATCTTGACTTTTTCCTCCAGGTAGCATCACTGTTACGTATGTAAGGCAACATACAGCCATTGTCATTTAATCCTCAAAAAGACCTTGTGAAATAGGCATTATTCTTGCCATTTAGGTATTTGCCCTGGGTTACAAAGGTAGCAGAGGTGGTATTTGAACTCTTGTCTGTATGATGCCAAATCAGTGATCATTTTCCCTGTAACGCACTAACTTCTTATATCTGTAATTTATGAAGGGACTAATGAGATTAATTCAGCAACAGCTGTCTGCCTGTATCTTGGTTAGCCTGTTTTCCAGGTTAATAAAAGTTTTGGCCTTTGTGGCATGCCATTCTACAAATTATGCAGGTGGAGTAGTTATTCATAATTTGTTGGAGATGTCAGTCTTTGAATTAGAGAAATTTTATTTCCAGAATTATAGGATATTATTTCCTGCCCTAGAACACTCATGAAACTCCCTCTCTCACTCTTTCCCCCTCCGCCTTTGCCCTTCACTCTCATAAAAAACTTACTTGTTTCAAGATGGTGCAAGCATGGCTTTTGAAATTGTAGACTGCATCAATTTAAGCATAACTTTTTTTTTTTGCGGTACGCGGGCCTCTCACCGCTGTGGCCTCTCCCGTTGCGGAGCACAGGCTCCGGACGCGCAGGCTCAGCGGCCATGGCTCACGGGCCTAGCCACTCCACGGCATGTGGGATCTTCCCGGACCGGGGCACGAACCTGTGTCCCCTGCATCGGCAGGCGGACTCTCAACCACTGCGCCACCAGGGAAGCCCAAGCATAACTTTAAAATATGAATCTTGCTATAGAATTTTCTCCTAAAATCCTTCACGTGTACTTTGCTGTCAGTTTTTTTATGAAACAGGAATCATCATCTTGAGGACAGGGTATGTAACTGTTCAATCAGAAGTGAATTAGAAGTAGGACACTAATGACAGCCAGTGATTGAGAGACAAAATTATAGAGTGACTCTGAGTTGAGTGGTGTGTCTGGTGAGCCTGAGGCAGCTCAAGTGATGATTTCTGGTTTAAAGGAAGTGAGACTGAGGTGTAATAATTTTAGACAGCTAGTCTCTGACCTCTTTGACTGGGTTGGTTTGTTTTTTCCCCCTGGTTAAATTATTTATTTAGTTAGTTTTGGCTGCGTCAGGTCTTAGTTGTGGCACGGGATCTTTTGTTGTGGCATGCGGGCTTCAGAGCACGTGGGCTTGGTAATTGCAGCACGTAGGCTCTCTAGTTGAGGCTCTTGGGCTCAGTAGTTGTGGCACGTGGGCTTAGATGCCCCACGGCACGTGGGATCTTAATTCCCTGACTGGGGTTCAAACCCACGTCCCCTCCATTGGAAGGTAGATTCTTTACCACTGGACCACCAGGGAAGTCCCTGATTGGGTCTTTCTACTTTTGCATCCTTCACTCTTGAGTGAATGGATTTGTTAGACCACTTGTGTTCTGTTATGTTTTCAAGGAAGTATTTAGTGTGGTTCCCCTGAGACTGGAAGAAGTAAGACATTCCACATTATGTCCCATTTTCCCTGACTGCAGTACTTTTCAGTACATATATGTTTTCTGGCATAGAAGTGGGGATGGCGAATGAAATGCACAATCAAAATAAATGCTTCTGAAAGAAAATTTCCTACTTGAATTATATGTCCTGTGTGTGATTCCTTTATTTTATGAGAAGGATTTTTTGTTTTGTTTTGTTTTTCTTTTTCTTGGCCGCGCCATGTGGCTTGTGGGATCTTAGTTCCCCAACCAGGGATTGAACCCGGGCCCTCGTCAGTGAAAGTGCGGAGTCCTAACCACTGGACTGCCAGGGAATTCCCGAGAAGGATAGTATTTGATGGTGGCTAGAAGTAGAGGGAGTTGGAGAGTTAGATGGGGATTCTGGGTGGGAGAGCCCCATATATCAGACTAAAGTTTTTGGACCCACTCCTTAACAGTGGGAGCCTTTAAAAGTTTTTATTGGCAGATGACTTAATATAAGTACAATCATTTAATGAAGTGTAATTTATTCTCAGGTAATATTCAAGCTTGGTTTGTATTTTTATATTTTAAAGATTTATTTCTGATTTTTTCCCCCTTTTTTCCTTCCAAATCACTCATTCCCCATCTCCTTAGATCTCCCATCTTGTAATCACCTGACAGAGTGTAGAGGTGCACCTCCTGAGCCAGGGAGAAGTCTGAGGGAAGCACTGCCCCTGGGTGACTGTGTAAAGCAGGCAGGAAATCTGCATTGACCTTACGTCTTGGGACCACCTCCCAGGTCAGCCGGTCTCCTTGGACCCCAGGGCCTTCCTGTGGCTGCTGGACAGCCTGGATTACCACCACCCCGTGGCCCACCTTTTGTCCTGACCCCACCTGACTCCTTCAGGATCTGCTCCTTCCTTGTTCAAGATCTGCCTGGTGTTTGGTCCTTTCCCCCCGTTATGACCTGTCTCGCTCCTCATTCCTCTTCACCGTGTTCTGGGTAGTAGTCCACTGGGTGCTGAACTCCCTAAAGCCAGGGATCACGACTTCTTAGGCCTCGAAGTAACTGCCAGATTACAAAGAATATTTTTAGAGCAGACATTTGGGTTCCTCTTGAATCATACGCGCTAGGCGGCCTCTTCCCTAGCATTCCCGGAGGATCGTCCTGCTCGGGGAAGGTGGGAGGCCTGGCTCTGGGCCAGAGCACCCCGTTCACCTTCAAAGATCATATGTGAGTTCGAGAAAACAAACATACCCCAATACTGAACTACTTGTTGTTCTTTTGTGCTCAGTCGAGGGGATTATTTGTTTGTTTTGTTTTGTGTTAATCATTTCTATAAGAAATCTGAAGTTTTAGGAGCTCTGAAAATTGCTAAGGTCTGTGGGTGACATTAACAGACTGATGATCTTTGCCAGCCTTTGGCTAAAATACAGGAAGAGTTCAGCACGTTTTATTTTCAACTTGAAGCAGTAACCAATTCTTACTTTTCTCTTAGTGAGACATGCTCCCTGCCTACTAATACAAGTATATTTTCCCCCATTTGCTGAGCATTTTAGATATTTGTATCACTTCTGATGTAGAAATACATGAGAATTATGCATATCAGAAAAAAATCCCAATCAGAATGTGATTTGGAGAAACATCCTATTTGATTTATGCTGGATAGACTGTTCTGTGTATGATTTGTTTTTCCTGGGAGAAGGAAAGAGATTGTTGAATAGAAATATTTAAGTGATAATTTAAATATTGAAGCAAAAATGGCATAGGTTTGGTCTTCAGATTTGTGTTTTTTGTAAAGTAAAATAATGAAACAAACAAAAAACCCAACCTTCACAAGACAGATAGTAGAATGAGTGGGTAAAGCATTTTGCCCAGGAGACAGATTGAATCCTGTGTTTGAACCCTGCCGCAGCAACTCAGTATGTGTGACACTGACAGCCTCACTAGGCCTTATTTCCCCCTTTGCTCTTGGGGCTGTTGACGGTATCTGCCTCATGAAGGTTTTGTGTAGATTGAATGAGGAAATGTATGCAAAATGTTTAGCTCTGTAGTAAATAGTGAATAAATGTTAGCCCACTTAACCTTGCTATTGTTATAGTAGATGTAAATACTATGAAACTTAATTTGACAACATTTCTGAAATGTGGAATTATTCCAGTGCTGAAAGTAATGGATATAAAAAGGTGCTTGTTTCTGTAACCAAATCACATCAAAGAAATCAAGATTTAAAAAAACAGGCAGTTGATGAAGATTAATTGTATTCACAAAAAATATGTTTTCCCGAGCTGGACATTATAAACAAGTAAGGAATTTAAAAATAAAAATATTCTCTTAAAATGGCTTCAATATTACATACTCATGTAAAAATCTTTTATGTTTTATAGGGTTACGTTGTTAGACCTTATGATAGCCAAAATAATGGGTGATGAGCCACTGAGCAAGGATGAGATCCCTGTGTTTTTGAGCCATGCCGAGCTGATTGCGAGCACTTTTGTGGATCAGTGCAAGACTGTGCTGAAATTGACCTCTGAGCAGCATGCTGAGGATGAGGTAAGAGAACAGACAGATTTTCTAACTCAGCTAGGTCCTCTAAGGACAAAAGCTTTAAAAACTATTATAGGGACTTTCCTGGTGGTACAGTGGTTAAGAATCCGCCTGCCAGTGCAGGGGACACAGGTTTGAACCCTGTTCTGGGGAGATCCCACATGCCGCGGAGCAGCTAAACCCGTGCGCCACAACTGCTGAGCCTGCACTCTAGAGCCTGCGAGCCACAACTGCTGAAGCCCACATGCCATAACTACTGAAGCCTGCGTGCCTAGAGCCTGTGTTCTGCAACAAGAGAAGCCACCGCAATAAGAAGCCCGTGCACCGCAGCGAAGAGTAGCCCCTGCTTAACGCAATTAGAGAAGGCCTGCACACAGCAACAAAGACCCGACGCAGCCATAAATACATACATACATACATACATACATACATACATACATACAATTATGTAAGTAACGTATCTGCTGCATGTTGGTGGGTGCACTCCCTCTCTAAAATTCCTATGTAGGGGCCTTTGGGATGTGATTAGGTCATGAGGGCCCTCATGAATGTAAGTAGTGCTCTGATAAAAGACACCCCAGAAAGATTCCTTACCCCTTCCACCTTGTAAGGGCACAGCGAGAAGTTGGCCATCTGAAGCCTAGAAGAGGCCCCTCCCCAGAACCCAACCACGCTGGCACCCTGATCTTGGGCTTCCAGCCTCCAGAACTGTGAGAAATAAATGTTTGTTGTTTATAAGCCACCCTGTTTGTTGTATTTTGTCATAGGAGCCTGAGCTAAGACAGTATCCTTATTTTAGAACAGTTACGAAAATACAGAAAAGGGAGAACAGTGCCCTTATTCTTACCATCCAGAGTTAATGACTTAAAATAATAGTTAATATATTTTTCTAGGCAAATAACATCAAATACATGCATGCATACATACATACATACACAAACATATATATATATATATATGTATGTATATATATATATATATATAAAGTGAAATCATTCTGGGCTTCCCTGGTGATGCAGTGGTTAAGAATCCACCTGCCAATGCAGGGGACACAGGTTCGATCCCTGGTCCGGGAAGATCCCACGTGCCACGGAGCAAGTGAGCCCGTGTGCCACAACTACTGAGCCTGCGCTCTAGAGCCAGCGAGCCACAAGTACTGAACCCACGTGCCACAACTACTGAAGCCCATGCACCTAGAGCCCGTGCTCCTCAACAAGAGAAGCCACCGCAATGAGAAGCCCGTGCACCACAACAAAGGGTAGTCCCCGCTTGCTGCACCTAGAGAAAGCCCGCGGGCAGCCACGAAGACCCAGTGCAGCCAAAAATAAATAAAATTAATTAATTAAAAAATGAAATCATCTGTACCACCAATTTGTAAGTTCCTGTTTTTTCTTCTCCTGAATGTGTGTAAGTTGCATGAGGGCAGAAGTTTTGACTGTTATGTTCATAGAACTGTGTACATAGTAGGTACTTTAGTGAATATTTGCTGAGTGCACAAACAAGCAATACATAGTGAATGTCTTTTTAAAATGCCGGTGTAGGGCTTCCCTGGTGGCGCAGTGGTTGAGAGTCCGCCTGCCGATGCAGGGGACACGGGTTTGTGCCCCGGTCTGGGAAGATCCCACGTGCCGCGGAGCGGCTGGGCCCGTGAGCCATGGCCGCTGAGCCTGTGCGTCCAGAGCCTGTGCCCCGCAACGGGAGAGGCCACAGCGGTGAGAGGCCCACGTACCAAAAAAAAAAAAAAAGCCGGTGTAGCATTCTGTGTAAACAATTTACCATGATTATTTGTCTGTAGTCTGTGTCTTTGTAGTTATGTCTTCATACATTTTAAAATTCTCCTCGAGCCTACCCTAGATCATTTAGGTCTTTTCTTTACTAAGGAGATGGACATTAGCTTACAGTAATTCTGTTTCCCTCCTCTTGAATTCAGGAATTCTCTTCATTTTTGTCTGCTCCTTCCTTCCCTTCTGTCTTAAAGTTAGCATTGTTCTTTCTCTGGAATACTACTCAGCAGTAAAAAGAAATGCACTTCTGGTATAACAACAGAGATGAATCTCAAACATAGAGTGGAAATAGACTAGAGAATACACTGCATGCGTCCATCTCTGTGAAATTCTACAGCGGGCAAAACTTATGGATTATAACAAAGCAGCTCAGCTGTCACCCGGGCTGGAAGTGGAGGGGTGGAATTGATTGTCGAGGGACATGAAGGAACGTTTTGGGTAATGGAAGTGTTATATGTAGCTGTGTACAGTGACACAACCCTACTCTTCAGATGGACATATTTTATTGCATGTGAATTATACCTCAAGTGTCGATTTCAGCATGTTCAAAAACATCATAGAGGTTATTTCCATGCTGATAGGAATGGTGAGTAGAGAGGTAATCACTTGGGCTCAGAGGCGGGAATAGGTGAGCAGGCTGCCCTTTGACAGGCCCGTCCACTTGCTGTCCCCAGATGGGAAGGTAGGGAAGGTGGACCCTGACCCACAGCATTTCCTGGAGGGCTGTGTGTGACACTGTGGACCTGTTAACTCCCACAGTAAATGTAGGCCGTGATTATGCTTGTTCTGCCGTGTAAGTGTATCTCCTTCTTTGTGAAAATACTTTCTTCAAGGTTGCTTTGCTGTTGATTTTCTGTGCTGGATCAGAGAGGCCATGTCAGGTCTCACGGTAAGGTCAGTGTTTTAATTCTCCTTTCTGTGGTAGCAGAAAGCTTTACTCGGAGGCTGCTTCCCTTTCTGGAGGTAGAGTTGCCTCTGTTTCCAGCAGGAGGAGCAGCGAGCTGTGCTTCAAGGAAGTTTCAAAGAGGAATTTTCCAGGAAACAGAAAATGAAGTACACTTAGTACTTGTTAAATCCAGCTTTGAACTTTTTCAAGGCACTTATATTTAAAGTAGAGATGATTTCAGTGTTGTACTAAGAAGTTACCTGATGTAACTTTTTATGTTTAGGAAAAGTTATATTTTTCACACTTTTTTCTTTAAAGGTGGGAGGAATTATTATGTATTAATAGATAGAAAATTGTAGATAGTTGTTGTTTTTTTTTGAAAAGCCCAAATAGTTCACTTTTTGAAAATTCATTGATCTATATACTCATGACTTGTGCTTGTTAATTGTATATATGATATCCTTTAAGGTTGAAGTTTAAAAAAAAAAGCCATAGTAGTATTTAAGGAGGACCTGTACCTCAATATTAAATATACCATAAACCTCGTAGTGTATTGGAGCTGGCCTGTACCAACCTCTGAGAGTCAGTTATTAAACATGCAGAAGTTTGTGAGCTTGGTAGTTTGAAGTCAGCCACGGTGGAAGTGTTTATACCATTCACTGCTGAATCCACTGCCACTTTACCAGCAAACCACTGCATTTACCCATTTGTGATATTTTTAGGACAAGATGTCCAATAAAGTGCTCATGATGCTTGCTATGACCTAAAAATCAGAATGAAAATAAATGTTTTTAATAGCATCGGTTCTTAAATTTATTTGTTAGGCTTTAAAATTCTGAGGTTTTATTCATGTGTTCCTTTATACAAATAGTCTTAGGTTCTCATATTAACATACCTGTTTCTGTCCTTTGGTAAATTTTGGCGTACTGCTTGTTTCCAGTTTTTGGTGTGTTTTTGTCAGTTGTAGTTTGCTTATTTTTTAAGATCGAAGAGTCAGTTTAGCTTTATCTTGAGTCTCAGTCTTGTCACTTGCTGTAGTGAAACTTGCCTTCTTATGAAATATTTTCTTTGTTGTAAGGAAAAATAATTCAAGCCAAATGCTGTGAAACAGAAGGTTAAGAACTCCTCTTTTTCACCCATCCCCCATCTATTTTCTACAGATATATCAGCGTATACTTTTTTCCTTCCGAAACTTTTTTGTATATACACACCTATACATTTTGTTGCTTTTTTGAGACACAATATACTATATATTCTGTCTTGCAACTTCCTTTTCGCTTACCCTGATGTTTCATACACTCTAACACGTGTGCATATTCATCTCACCCTTTTTAATAGTTGAATAGTATTTCACTATATAGATGCATCACAAGTTTTTACTTTTGTTCTCCATAGATGTACATATGAATTGCTTACAGGTTTGTTTTCTTAAAAACCTTCACAAATAATACTACAGTGAACATCCTTGTAAAAATATCTTTGCAGTTTTGGACAAGTAGGTCTGGAATTATAAATTCCTGGAAGTTGAATTGCTGAGTAGAGAGAGTATGTTTATTTAAAATTTGTAAGAGAAATTTCTAAATGACAAACCTAAGAGTACAAGAGTGTGTGGGTCTGCACCCCTTCACTAATCTGATTATCATTTCTCTCTTGTTTTTCAGTGATCAGTATGTTAAGTTTGTTTTTCGTGTTAGGTTACCTTTTAAAATACGTTTATTAATGAGCATTTTCAGAAAGTTAATCTTTTGTCACACATACAAGAAACTTTTTTTTTTGCCCATAGTTAATTTTTTGTTTGAATTTATTTATGGTAGTCTTAGCCTTTTAGGAATTTGTTTTGTTTTTAATCTAGTTAGGCTTATCAATTTTATCCTTATGACTTCTGAATTTTTTTTTTTACAGATTAGTAAAATCATCTCCACTTAGATTGTAGAAATATACACCTATATATTCTAGTTCTTTCAGTACTTTGTCTGAATTTTTAATTAACCTAGAATTTATTTTTGAGTAAGAAGTGTAGTATAGATCCAAATGAATTGCTTGTGTCTTTTAACTCTCCAAGACTATATAATCTTTGGTAGAAGACTGCTTGGGTTTGAACCTGGATTTCTTATTATTGATGTGTGATCTTGGAAGTTACTTACCTTGTTTCTTTTGCCTGTAAAATGAATTGTATTTTAATATAAGCACTTAGTATACTGACTGGTACATAGCTACTATTCCCTAAAAGTTATCTGTTAATTATTGTATCAGCACCATTTAGTGAATAATCTCATCCTTTCTACTAATTTTAGTGCTACCCAAATCATATGTTAAATTTTTAATATAATTTTGGATCCATTTCCGGATTTCTGACCTTTTACGATGGAAATCAGTAAGATACTAACAACTGTTAAAGAATTCAAATGAATTCATACGTTTCTATGCGATAAAGGAATATGCTGAAATGAACTTACAGAGAGATGCAGAAAGTAGTCTATGCACAAGGCAATAATTAATTGCATTCCAGCCAGACAGAAGTAACCTCCATTTCTGTAGACAAGAGTCATTGGCATTATTGTCAGTTTTATGCAACTGACAATGTTGTAAAATAGCTCAGAGACACTGAATGGTAAAGTGAACCCAGGCAGATGATCTAGATGGTAGACTGATCTCTGTTTTTCTCTTTTAACAACTTCAAAATCTTGTTCCTTTGACTTGCCTACATCTTTTTTCCCCCATTTGTGTCTGACTTAATGAATATAGTTTTATAATACTTATAAATAATGGAAGGGTAGCTCACGTATTCCTCTTATTTTTTTAAAAGAATAATTTTTCTGGCTGTTATTTCATTATTAGTTTCCAAATGCTCATTAGAAACACTTCATTAATAAAAGGATTCTAATGATTAAAACTGGAGATGTGTTAGGTGAGGATAGATTAATTTTCTTTTGGGTTTATTTCAGGTAATATCATAGAATTTAGGAGCTGGAAGGAAACTTCAGGTCATCTCTTCCAACCCCCTAATTTTATTTTTGTCTTTCTATCAAGAAAAATTTCAAACATAGACTAAGAGAAAAAGTGTCTTGAAACCCCATCACCCAGCTTCAACACTTACCAATTCATCCCCATTGTTGTTTCATCAACAGTCCCACCCATTCTTAGGCCAGTTGCCCCCGATTCAAAGAGGACTCCCACGTAGTTCATCAGATAATAGTTTACATGTGTCTCTAAAAGATAAGGAGTCTTAATACATAAGTAAAATACAGTTAGCACATCTGAAAACTTAATAAAATTTTAATATCAAACGAACAGTATTCAAATGTTCCTCATTGTCTAATATTCTTTTTCAAGTTTATTTCTTTGAATCAGGATATAAGGGCATACATTGCAATTGGCTGCTGTATCTTAAATCTCCTTTAACTAGGTTCCCCTTTCCTCTTCCTCCTCTCTTTTTTTTCCACCTTTGCTCATTTTCTGTTGAACTGGGTTGTTTCACCTGTACAGTTTCCTACAGTTTCCTTTTTGATGAGGATATCTCCATGGTGGGGTTTAACATACCCCCTCTTTTCCTTGCATTTCCTGTGAATGATAATTCCTTCCAGAGGCTTATTCAGATTTGGGTTAGGTCTTTTTTTTTTTTTTTTTTTTTCTCTTTCTAGTATATTTCATTGTTGGTGATAAGTACTTTCATGGAGTCATATAATGTCTGCTTGTCTCTTTTTGTAATGTTAGCAGTTGTTAATGACTATTGACTAGATCCATTAATTCTTTGCAGGTTGTGAAATGGTGGTATTTGGACTCTATCATTCATTTTTTAGCTGGAATATTTTATAAAGAGAAACTTCTAATAAGCTATTAGGTTATGCAAGGTTCATTTTGATTAAGAAAAACAGAATAAATGGTTGATCACCGCCCCCCTTTGATTACCAGTCTTCAAAGTATTGAGCTGGTTTTATGGTATCATACAAAGTTGATGAGTGAGTTGTTTAGTTTTACTTTAATCATTGTTATGAAGTCATGGCTTGTAAACCACTGGATTTGTTTTCAGTCCATTTTAGCCGTAATTCTTCCTAATGGTTTCATGTGCCATTGCTGGCCGGGGGAGCCTCTTCAAGTTGCTTCTGATTCCTTGTGACATGATCCGAGGAGACTCTGATAGCTGCCTTGCTCTCTGGTATGACAAGGTGTCCAGGGTCATCTCGTATGTGCTCTGCCCCAGACCTATAGCCAATCAGCCATTTCTTGAAGGAGAAGTGGTATCCGAAGATGACCGTCTGGGCAACTACTCATTTAATAAAAGAGGATGCAGACGCTGTGCTAAATAAGTTTGGATTTGCTCCAGTCTTCTAAACAGACTTCTACTAGATATTTTCTCCTAACTTTTTTTTTTTTTTTTTTTTTTTTTTTTTTTTTCTT